GCTGCCGCCCCTTTTGTGAGCCAAGACAAAAGCACGCAACAAGGTCAGGGCAAATTAGAGGCTGAGCCACGCAGATTTCGTAATGGAATGGGAAAAGGCACAACAGACATAGCGACTCGCCGTCTCTAGACTTTAGTGTGTGGGGGCCTTGACTGTGCGCCACGCCCAAAACGTGGCAACATTTTAATTTAATCGCATTTTCGATTCTGGATCAACTCCCCCACCACATTTTAGGCCTAAATGCCAGCTACAAATCAGCAGATCCTCAGATCGTGTGCAGATAATCCCAAGTCTCTCTTACTATTACTCGGCTACAGTTTATCTTTTGACCAATTGTGAAAGTAATTTAATGCGGATTCGGTTCAGCTGCTGCTGCTGCTGCTGCCTCTGCTGCTTCTTCTACATTTTTCAATTACCAAGAATTGCATGTTTCGTTTTAATTTCCACGTAGTTCAATTGCCCGCCCGAACCGAGCCGAATGTCTGCGTGTCGTAGTGCACTTCTTTTTTTCTCTTTCTGGGAAACTGGTTGGGAAGCATCGGCACAACAACTACACAGAGACACACACACACACATACACGCACACAGGTGTGTCTGTGTGTGCCTAAATGATTTTGAACCAGTTCTGGGGAAACTGCGTGTCTAAAATTTAATGAAATCGCTGGCCATATAGCTACTCTCTATAGGAAAGAAAACAACATTTGAAATGCATTCGCTATACACTGCCGGATAGCCACTGCCAATCAGCTGTGTTGATGCGGATAATTGAGATATTATTAGCCAACGGGCACGGCATTGGCATTTGAATTAAACGTGCCGCAATTGCTGAAATGTTGCCTAATTAGCTGTATATTGCATTGCCAACACACAGAAAAGAGTTTACAAATCAAGCAGCTAAGCCAATTTGAGTGCAATCAATGGATTTGTAGTGATTGGATTTGAGTAAATTACTGTTCCGTATATAGTTCGGATAGCTATCGAAGGAAGCTATTAAGTCCATAAACTGATCTGAGTGTTAATAAATAGATAACGATTAAGAGAGGCATAAAATATAAATGCATTAAAAAATCTAATTGATTCTTGGATGAATTCGGATAAGGGAGATAATGTGGCAAATGGTGATCAAATAGGTAAATTTTACAGGCAAGAGTATCACAGTGATCCAAAAATGTATTGGAAAATTAAGGATAATTTCGGATAAATACGGATAAAATGTAAACAAGTTATTGGCAGCTAGAATATTAAAATTAAAATGTATCTGCAAGACAACTTAGTATTTAAACTAATCCAGATCTGTATTGGGAAGTTGAGTAATTTCGGATAAATGCGGATAAAATTTAAAAAAGTTATTGTTAGCCAGAAAATTATAATTGACATTTTTTTTGTAATACGACCTAGTATTTAAGCCATTCGCTGTGACAATAACTTGTCTAGCCATTCCACTATCAAAACGGATTTCTAGACCGTAATGAAAAGTTTTCGTATAACCTGGGATAAGAATGGATAAAAAGTTATTATCAGCCAGAATGTCACAATCGACATTTATCTGCAACACAACCTAGTATTTAAGCAATTCGCTGTCGCAATAACTTGTCTAACCATTCCATTTCCATTTCCATTTGCAATATGTGTCAAGCACTTTACTTTTAATTATACTCATATGCCAGCGAGTATTCGTCTGGCCAGTTGTGACATACTCACATCAAGGAAATGACAAACATCAAACCAAATAAACTCAAACTCGAAACTCAAAATCTTCTTAACCCAAATTTATGCATGTGTCAGAGATCGCACCATAGTTGGTCAGATGCACGTCAATTCCATGCTAGATTTTAAGCGCAGACCGATTGCGTATGGCAAATAAAATTGCATGCTTGCCTAGAAAACTACGAAATAAAAGAGTTAACTGGTTTCGAATACTCTGTACATGCTGAAAAGGGGACTTCATTTCTTCGAATACAAATCAATTTTAAAACTTAATCAACTTCTTTGTCAACAATTCATACTTCTGAAACTTATTTGTGAAAAAAATTTCATTAGCTTCGACTTCTTAGGGCAGATTACAGGTCATCTAGCAGCTGCTTATGCTCGCCTCGAGCCGTCCTTGTTGCTTATGGCTTTTTGAACGAAAAGAGAAAACCGACCCAGCCTGGCCAAGAGCTGAGACTTGCTGGACAGCTGCGAGTATGTCAACAGTCTTGGCCATATTTGGCAATCAATTTATTTTTTTTTTTGTATATATATATATACATTTATATATTTTGGATTTGGATAGATTTGAATTGGGCTGACTGTTGGACTGTAGGTCTGGTGTTGGCTATCAAAGTCAATCAACAGGGGCACAATTCATTTGTGACAGATTATGCCTTGACTTTGTTTGGGCAACAGTTGACAATCGCAATGAATGGATCGAATAGATCGACTGCCGTTTAGAAAGCAACGCTCTAGTCTTCGCCCCCTTTGATTGATCGCACGCAGATGTGGATAAGGTGTATATTTTTGTGTTTCTCTCTGTTTTTGGCACTGTCATACAGAGCAAATGGAATTTGCATTGAAAAACCACAAAACGTAGCACATAAAACTTTCACTAGCTGCGGTCCGGAATCGTATTTTCTTTTTTTATTTTTATTTTTTAACGATCTGTCTAATATTATCGCATCTGATCTTCCGGCTGAACTACAACATGGTGTTAATGCTAATAGCAAATGCCCATCAGTTAGTTACACATGCAACATGCTGCAAGACATTCACTTTTGCATGCAGCCCAGTCGACAGAGTGGGGGCCCCATTAAATTGTGCTTTGGCGAAAGGGTCTGCACTCAAGGCTTTAGCTATATTTATGCTCGTACAGCCACTAAAGAGGCTCACACAAATTTGTGCATTTCAAAGCCCGACTCGACGCTGATCAAGCGGCTGTGGCAGAGGCCCTCTTGTTATCATTCATTTGCATAAATTTAAAAGTTATTCAAATAAATCGCTTGGCGTGCTGGCAAATTGCTTTTAGCTGCCGCTTCTCACATTGATTAGGCTACAGCTTGGACATTAGGCAGCTGGTTTTTTGTTCATTCGTTTGTTTGTTTGTCGTTCATGCTCCAAATGTTGTGCAATTGGATACAATTCCAGATGTTTATGAATGAGAATGTAAAACTCAAAACGGGCTAACACGCAACTGCAGCCATATGATGAGCTAAACGCATACAGCACTTGGCGTTAAGTCACACAAATGACTTTAATTACCAAAATTAAGAAACAGAAAATATAAACAAAAATACCAAACACAAAATTATAGCCAGCGGGCAGCTAAAATTAACAGAGAAAACATGTAAGAATGTGAGAGTTGAGTTGTGCCTGACTGGCAAATGCCCTGTAATAAGTTGTAGCTGATACGTTCATTATATAATGTTGCTGCATGATATATGAAAATTTATATCATATACATCAAATTAAAATTTGAACTTTGCTTCAAAGGAATTGCTTCAGATTTTATACAGTTCTGAGGCCTGGTTAAAGCTATTCAAGGCTTGATAAAATGATTTGCATAAATTTGTTTTTAGTTGATATCATTTGCTTATACAATTTCTATAAAAATCAGGCTAGCTGTTAATAGTTTGATTAATGTACAATATTTATACGACATATCAAGCCAAATATACCAAATTATGAGTGTCTCGTTTTCATACAGATTGAGCTCTTTGAGGTAATAAAGGCTATATAGATATATCTCTAGATAAATTATGTGAGCTTAAGCTCTACTCAAAGCATTGGCAACTCAAACTCATTGCTTGCTTTTATATGTTGCAGTTACATTCGTAACTCCAATAAACTCCCTTTAAAGGCATTCGTATATGAACAGGGTATTTAAAGGCAAATTAAAACTGAAACATGACCAGGCTGGGTGCCATATGAAAACCAAGTTTAAAGTTGCCGCTGGAATTTCTAAAGCAATATCAAATTGTTGCCTTTGCTGCTGCTGCTGGTTGGCTGCATAAGCGGCTGAGTGTGTGCCACAGTGTGTCGAGTGAAAGTACACGAAAAAAGTGGCAGTCAGAAAGAAGCAACCAGCCAGCTAGTCAGCAGGCAATGTAGGTAGATGCAGATTCCACATCGGTCAGAGACGGAGCTTACAGTTTACGACTCTATGGCTATGGCGATGGTGATGGCCACATGCTGATGGCCCGACATGCGCTGGCAATTTCGAAATTTCATAAATTGGACAGCAACACGCATGCGCCAGCAGCTGCAACATGTTGGCTGCTGCTGCCGCAGCAGCAGCTGCGATTCGGCCACAATTGCAGTCAGAACAGATTAGAAATGTCCGGCGCGTTGAATTTAAATGAGTTTTCGCTATATCTCAGCTGGCTAATTGCAAATTGGGCTTGTCAGCATTCATCATGTGCATATGAATATGAATATTCAGTTGAATATCCGTGCATATATAGCTCTAATAATATCTCTATATGGCTGTATCGTTTGCCAAATGGAGCAACATTACGTATGCGCAATTTTCCAACGGAATTAACATGCAACAGGATTTGTAAATGTGACTGGGCGGAGCTGTGGCTGGGATCAGTCCGCATTGCGTACAAATTTAACACAAGCCATAAAATCAAGTGGATATTTTGCAGCAGCTGTATTAATTATATATAGCATATTATGTAATAATGGGTGGGTTACCGATGCGAGAGCGCTTTATGATTTATGATCAAGTTAGAAATTATAACTCAGCTTGACTTAAAATTTGTTAAGCTAGATAATTGCTTGAAGCAAACATAAATTGGAAAAATAATACCTATAATGTATGTTTTATGAATTACATATGTTTTATCTTAACCTTTGTTAAGACTTACCTAAGTTCTTCAAACTTATAACATTTTAGCATTTGAAGTTGACTTTCTCCAAGGTCAATTTTTGTGTTCTGCCTTGCTTGTACATAGAAAATTGTATTTGAATTTATGTAATCTATAATCCAATCTTTGTCCAATATATCTGTGTGCTTACAGCAACCAGTTGATCCACGCATACAAGCCCACACCCGCACCGCGCACCAGCAGCTGCAATAGCAGACAACACCGCAAGATGCAGCAGCCCGGCAGCAGTTACTATACGCAAACAGAAAGCGAATTGCTGCAGCTGGAGGCTGGAGGTGGAGCGCCCTATCCACAGCAGCAGCAGCAGCAGCAGCTACATCAGCATCAGCAACAACAGCAGCAGCAGCAACAGCTAGCTGCTAGCGGCAGCACTAGCAACCACTCAACCACTTCAACGGTCAACAATTTGGATGCCCCATCGACGGCTAGTAGCAGCGGGACGCCTTCGCATTTTGTGTCGCCGCTGCAGCGACGCCACTGCCAGCCGCCCAATCATTTGCCACTGAACTCGGTAGTTGCCACGCCGCTGCGCACCGCCAGCTACAAAACGGCTGCAACCGCCAGTGTCTATCATCATAGCCACCATCAGCAGCTGGACTTTCAGCGCAATTCACAGTCGGACGATGACAGCGGCTGTGCTCTGGAGGAGTACACCTGGGTGCCGCCGGGTCTGCGACCCGATCAGGTAATCAATGCATAAAGGGGCGTGGTCCGAAAACAACACATGCGGCAATTTGTCGCAGCTAATTAGGTGAAATCAAAAAGCCAACGGCTGCATTGATTTCCATGTGGTTTCCATGTGGTTTTTTTTTTTTGACCACCTGCTGCGGGCAATTGACTTTTGATTTCGTTTTGCCTTGGCCACGGCCCAAAAATCAAAGCCATAGCCAGTTCAATGGCCGTGTTTAAGGAAATTCGAGCAGCTTAATTGCCGCTGTAAAGCGGCTTTTCCCATTTCTATTTTTTGGTTGGAAAATTATCGCCCCAATCTGGCGGCTGGCGATCGATTTGAAAAGCGAAAGCACTTTGTAATTAAATCGCTGGTGCCCGCATTTTGCAGTTGTATGTGAGCTTACATAACGGGCGCGGGAAAAACTAAACGAAAAGAAAAATCGAACTGTAATCGTTTGGGCAGTTCGTTTGTTCGTTTCAGTTGTTTTTCCTACCCATTCTGTTGGCTCATGACTTTTTCGCGACATTTACCCACTTTCGCACGTTTTACAGCGCGGCTTTTACTTTTTTTTCGTTTATGTTTTTTCTTGTCGATATTTGCGATGTGGGCGTGCATTGTTGTTATTGGCTTTTAGCCAAGTTGGTGAAAGCGTCGTGTCACTGGTCTTTGATTAATTTGTTATGGCTTGTCCCTAATGAAACGCTTCCCACGGAATTTGTCGCCAAACCGTTTACACTAAAGCTTATGGCTGATATCTATATATATAAATATATATATATAACTGCAGTGCTTAAGTTTTTATATCTGATTATGTGCACTCTCTAACTCATTTCTCTCTGTTTTATCTGCTCGTTAACAGGTTCGTTTGTACTTCAGCCAACTGCCGGACGACAAAGTGCCCTACGTCAACAGTCCGGGAGAAAAGTATCGCGTGAAGCAATTGCTGCACCAGCTGCCGCCCCAAGATAACGAAGTGAGTATTAGCCAAAAAGACAACCAGAGGGAGCACTCAACGAAAAAAGAACTCAAGCATCATAAAAATGCAGTTAATGTCGAGGAAAGCGTTTGCCAACTTTTTTAAGAATATCGAAAAGCAACCAAAGTGACACTAAATGGAGAGAATAGCTCTTTAGCATAATTGAATACTGAATACTCTTACAGACTGCTTATATAAGGAAAATGCATATGAATATGAATATGAGTATAAATAAGAATTTGTTATACAAAAAGTACGCTTTCAATTGATTACTTTTTAATTAAGTCTTGAATATACGAAAGATGAAATATCATATATAGAGTAAGCAATATACTCTGAAACTTTTAACAAACAAAAACTGATAAGAAGAATAAGTATGTTTTATTCATTTTAACCAGGCTTATACCAAGTTATATATGCACTTTTACACCAAGTTTCATTGGCATATTCGAGTTATATGTTCAGTTCAGTGGTGCAGACAAATAAAATGATTATTCCATTTGCCAATTAGAGCGCGTTCTGTTAACTACAATGATTTGCAAGTTGAATACCAAAATACCAAATGCCCCTTTGCAAGGGTATTGCACAAGAAAAGAAAAGGCAAAAATAAATTGGTATACAAAATCAAGGCACGCCCCCTGCTGCAGTGCGAGATTAAAAAAGTTGGCGTTCGCCTTTTTTGAGCTGCTGTAAAAGAGATTTTAATTAATATTTACAATACAAGAAAGTTTGTTCCAGCGCCAGCTCGATCTGCAGCTGCCATTAAACATGCCCTCCTTTACCTTATACCATTGCAGGTGCGCTATTGCCACTCGCTGAGCGACGAGGAGCGCAAGGAGCTGCGCATATTTTCGGCGCAGCGCAAGCGGGAGGCACTCGGACGTGGAGCTGTGCGGCTGTTGTCCGATGAAAGGCCCTGCAAGGGGGTAAGTACATTGCAAGCTCACCTACACAACGGTCCCTGCCATTCTCTCTCACAGTTCTCCTTCAACTTAATTGTGAGCCAAGAAATTTGCATTTTATTATGAGCAACAAAGGCGGCCGCCCGAAGAAAAGGCGAGTTTCGATTTCATTTTTTGCCAGCGCCCGGGCAAAGTTTTGCGCAAACTTTGACAGGACTCGCTAGTGGGTGGGACGGCAGCCAGCACAAAACGAACAAAAAATTGACAATGGCGCCTGCCAGAAACAATAAGGGACTCTTTCGTTTGGGGCAGGGTGGGCGAACGGTTAACTTTCAAACGTCGCGTCGCGTCGCGTCGTATCGCATCGTATCGCAAGTTGGCAGCGTCTCAAATAAAAGATGACGAAAAGATTTCATTAAGTACACTTTTAGCAAACGGCAAAGTGCTGCAACAAGGCGAAAAACTGCAAATGAAAAACGTTGTTGCAAAAACAATTGCAGCAACTGCCATTGCAAACAGCAATACAAAAGGCCACTCCACGCTCCACACACTGTGAACTACGGCACTCGACTGTGTGGACTCTCGAGTGCGGAAAGTTGATTTCGAATACCCTGTAAACTGAATATTAAAAGCTATTTTGAAACTGTGGAAATGGCGGATAAGTAGAAGCGATTATGTGACTTGAAATAATATTGAGCAAAAATATAGTACATAAGTCAATTTATGCTCTAGTTAGCTAAAAATAAAATATGTTTTTTAAAACTTTTCTAGATATAAATCTATTGAATTATTGAATTTTAAATATATGTTCCAAGAAAAATCTGAGACTAGAAAAAATAGAGCCACAACATTTTCTATACAGTTTCTTAGTTTTTCTGTCCGGCATAATATTTTACTAGCTTCAAGAATCCTGCTAAGATCCATTGAGATAAAAGACGTCTGCTCTAAACGAACTCATATAAGAATAGTGTAAATATTCTTTTTAGCATCTACTGACATGTAAAAAGATATTGTCTACAGATATTTGACAGATCTTAGACCTAACCAGCAGGAACAGGTCAGCTGCTAGTCGAGCACTTGCGAGTCAAAGATTCATGTCAGTTTTTTGTCTGCAGCATAGAGCGAAAAGTGAATGTATATATATATATATATATATATATATAAATATATCTATATATATGTATGTAGACAGAGAAACTGTGCAGTGGCACTATAGGACAATGCTTGCAGCATAAAATAGTAGTAGCAGTAGCTGCAACAGTAGGTAGAGCTGCCCTTTCAGTAGAAGGTAGTGAAATATTTCCCCTTATGCAAAAATTTGCATTGTTATTAGCTTGGCAGTCTCCGGAGCGAGTGCGTGCTGGCTAACCAACTCCGCTTCAGCTTCAACTTTCAACTTGGCCTGTCTGCTGCTGCATACCATATTCCATATTCCTGATCCCGAATCCCGATGCCATTGCCGTTGCCAGTGCAGTTGCCGTTGCCGTTGCCGTTGCCGTTGCCGCAGCCGATCCATAGCTCCCACTGTCTGCCGCAGATAGTTGTGGAGCTTGATTTTATTGTGTTCACATTCGCCACTCGTAAAACTTATTAAAAAGTTTATGCCGCATGCTGCCACGCAGTGCTGCGTGTCTGTGTCTGGGCAACGGGTTGGACATGCAGCCATGCTGCAGCAGCAGCAGCAGCATCATCCATTTGTCCGATCCCCGCTCCACACTCCATCCATATACCGCTCTGTCTGCTACGTGCGTGGGCGTTGCGGCTCGTCGGAGGTGTTGCCTGGCATTAAAGTTGTGCCCAAGTTTTTCCAGTGATTTTCTTTGGTTTTGGTGTTTTGGTCGGTGGGAGACGACGACCAAATTGGCAGCCAAGTTGCATTTATTACGCCTCGCCACAACGACTTATATGGCAGCCAGGACCACGGACCGGGGCAGCAGCATTCGGACCAGGCCAGCACCGGGTTCAGAGTTCATTAGAGAGACAAGACGCGCCAACAGCGTGCGAAGTTTGTCCTCCACTCATATTTAATGCCAAAGTGCAGTCACATATTTGATTTCATATGTTTTGATCAATGATTCAAGGGCTTACCTTATAAGATACTTCAGTTATTTATGATGCGACTTTTAGCACTGTAAATTATACAGCTGAAAGTTTACCTGCAGTCAGTGTGGGCAGCATCTTAGAGTTTTCTGGGTATTAAAACTAAGAAATGACTTTAAATGAGGAAGTCGTTGCTTTTGCGAGTGAAAATTTTATTACTTAAAGGAATAGAAGCATGCTCTCTAGATATGTGTGAAATGTTATTTTGAGATACACAGAAATATGAGCAATTAAATATATATATATATATATATATAGTTGTGAAACATATGTGTACATATTTTACGAGTATTGCGGTATTTATATAATTATTTTGGTTTGAGTTAAGCAATAAATAGAGAAAGATTTATACGAAGCAAAATAGAGAAGAAATAAATAAATACAGTTAGATAGTCATGGATATGTAGTTATGCAGCCATTGGCTAATGACTGTGGTTAAATCGATCTTACATAACTCGGCTAATATAGCTAGCAAGATATAACTTTTTAGATTTATGGAGATTAATAACCAATGCCTGGCACTATTGAAGCAAGTTGTACTCTTATAGGTTTATTATAAAGTGTATATATTCAATTAGCGGCGGTGTATCTCTGAACATTCCTGGCTTTTATTCAAGCATAATACAGTATTTATTCGGGTCAAAGCATTCGAGTTCAACTCCAGATGAATGCCATATTAATGAAATCTGATAAGCTAAGTCAGATTAAATGTGATGAGCACAAACTGACGTGCCGGAGCCTGTGCGCGCTGCTCTGCTACTTAAAATTCACAAACCATAACTGCGACTGGCTAAACGAAGGTTAAAATGTGAACAAAGCAAATGCCGCCCACTGAATCAGGCATCAGCAGGGCAAGGGAAAAGCGTGGACAGCCAAGCAGAAATTATACTTAAAGGAAATTTATGAAAACGCTCAATGAGCCTGAATGATGTCTTCTCCCTCGGTGCTGCTGCCAAAAAGCACTCATATTCAGTCAAGCGTAAATGAGTCGCAGCACAAGGCCAGAAACGTGCGTCAAACTTGGAATCAGAGTCGGGGTCAGGGACAGAGAGTCAGAGCCAGAGCCAACAACAGAGACAGATCCAGAGTTGGCAAATGATTTGGCCAGCTCCGATTTTCCACACGAACAACAATGGAGTCAACTGTAGAGAGCTGAGCGGATGTGACAGCCGAGCTTGACAAGGATGTGACACTAAAGGTCGTCCTGGCAACGATGAAATACAAAATAATTATTAAGAAAATCTCATGAAATATATTTTTTACAAAACTGTGGCAGGGCCAAAGGGGGATCCAAATAAAAGGTAGCTGGAAAATGCTGTTGCCTCTCGCCTGTTAAGCAAAAAGTTTATGTACTGAAAAGGGCACGATAACGAGCGTCATTAATAATTTGAAGGCACTGTGCAATGTGCGACAGAGATAGAGTGAATAAATGGAAAAGGCAAAGAGACAGAGAGAGAGAGAGAGAGATGGGATTGGGCAGGAAATTGTCTTGCTTGTTTGTGCTGCAAAGTTTGTCGGGCACAGCGCCAAATTTCGGATTAGGACAGACACACGAAATGGGTTACGAACAGAAGCAGCAAGCGTTGTTTGTCAGGTGGCGCCTCCGCGTGACAGCCAGCTACAATTTGTCAATAGCATAATTGTCTGCAGTGCAGTTAGAGGATTCCACGGTTCAAGCAGAGTTCATCAATTGCAAGCGACTGGCGACTGGCGACTAGCGACTGGGATTAATTGGATTGATAAGATAAATGAGCAGCGATTGCTGTTAAACACATGACATTTGGCAGCAGCAGCGCAAATCCTGAAAAATGTCCTTTTAAGTGGACACATGGCAACCTGGGGTGAATGGGAATCTAGAAAACTTTTGCACTTGCAATTGAGTTTAGCCACAGAGAAACTTACTTACTTAGAGCGCCTGTTCCGGCCAAAAGTTGTCTAAACCACAACAAAGTGCTGGCCCGAAAAAGAAGTAACTAGAAGAAGTAAGCCTCAACCGCAACAGGATGCGCAAAAATACGTCATTAGCGACTGAGCCTGGTATGGAGCCTAATTAAAGTGCGTGGTGACCGTGGAGCGAAAGAGGCGAAAGAGGGCAACGAAGTTGCTAACAATTAACGACGCATGCAGTGGGCCAAGTTGTCAGGCCAAGAAAATTATCAGCCCTGTAACCAGGAGTCTGAGCTGGCGCTTCGGAGGTACTGGCTGTCAATGTTTAATGGCTTGCAAAAGTAAATGTCGATTGCGGGGGTGGGGTGGGCCAACCGACTGGCATCCGACTGAGGTTTAATAGCCTGGAAAGTTAAGAAGCTGCAAGCAGCATAGTCAACACTACCACCGCTTATACTTCTCTCCAACAATGTCCTAGCAACGTCTTGTGGCTTTTGCGGCCCTGCTGGGGTAATTTGCGTGCGCGACTTGTGGCAGTAGCGGGCGGGGCGATGGCGGTTAGCAAACCAGGAAACGCTAGCTGAAACGAAAATGGCGCAAATTGGCGTCGGCTTTTGTCGTAGCACAGAAAAGGGTTTGAGGCCCAAGGGCTAAGGACTAGCCACAAAATGGCAGCGCTCGCATGTGGCACAACTTTTTTTTTGGCGTGGGCCACCGAAATAGCATTCATAAATCAGGGCAATTGCGTTAATTGCTTTGCATGCTCATAAAATGTACCAAGGCCGGGGGACTTCCTGCGTAAAGGTTCAAGAAAGTTGCAAATAGATTTTTCTACAAATGGCCGGGGTAAAAAGACATTAACTTAGCACGAACTTATTCGAATTTGTTAAATATATCTAAAGGAATTTCCTATGACATTTGTCTGATTTGTTCGTTATAACTCAATTGCCTGGAGTGTTCATAGGAGCGATGTTAGCTTAGTTGTTTGTCTACATTTTGGCCTCTGACTGATTCTTTCCGATAAGAGTAATACTACCCTGTGAGCGCAATAGGCTATATTATTAGATTCATTAGATTGGGGAATTAAGATGGTTTAAGTATCTAAGAAATGCAGTAACTGCTTTCAGTTTAAAGACAACAAGTCTTGTAAATGTTAAAAGACTTTTTGGAAGATTTTTTAATCTTCGGTGCTTAGTTCTAAATGTCAACTTTCTGTAGATCCAGCTGTATTCAGCATCTCAGTGCCAATTGGTTTGTTGATACGAACCTTATCTACACTCTCGTTTTCAAGATGCTGCAGGGCAAATGCGAATCTATTCATAGAGTTTTCAAAGAACATTCTAAGGATACCATCGCGTTAGCCTGTTTACCGTATGTTCTTGTTCCTTAAGGTAGACCGTCTTCAAGCTACTACGTTTCCTACATAGCTGCCCTTAGGAGGTAGGAAGTAGGAAGTATCCGCATGCGAAACCAAACATGTTCCTTAAGCAGTACGAAGACATTAGCTCTCCTGACCCTATTATGCTGCTTGCTCTACGTAAATGAGTTCATTATGCGAATTGCTTCAACTTTAACGAGTTGAGGTTGAGTCATTAAAACTGCGCTTCCGTTTGGGCTCCGTGACAAGAGCAACAGCAGCAACAGCAACTCCTACTCTGACTCCTACTCGGATTGCGACTGCGACACCGACACCAGCATTTTCCTTGCGGCCTTTTCTCGTGTTTCGTGTTTTATCCAAACAGTTTAAAGTCTCTGGTTTTTCCACTCTCTAGGGAGCACTTTTGAGACGAGGCCGGGCACATGGCCGGCAGCTATTTTTGCATTATTTCCGTTGTGAAAAAGCAAAACCACAAAGTAATCGTGAGGGAGAGTGAGGGCGGTCGAGGGGTGTTTGGGGGTTCTGTTCTCGTACTGGTTCTGTGCCATGTCCTCGCTTGGGGGGCTTAAGCGTTTTATTACCGTTATTTAGCATTTATAGTCGCTTAAATATTTTGCCCAGCCAAAGCAGACGCTGCAGATTTCTATCGCCACGCTGTCTCCCCGTGCAGAACTTTAGCATATTTTTGTTATTTAAACGACTTACCTAATGCCTCGCTCTGTTCTCTCTGCTCTCCTTTTGCAGTGCGATGAACAACTCTCCGGCGGTGACATTGTGGTCTTTGCCCAGCGCTTGGGCGCCCAATTGTGCTGGCATCCCGGCTGCTTTGTGTGCAGTGTATGCAAGGAGCTGCTCATGGACTTGATATACTTTCAGCGCGATGGCAATCTCTACTGTGGCCGACATCATGCCGAAACCCAGAAGCCGCGTTGCTCCGCTTGCGATGAGGTGAGTAAAAGAGCTGCAAAAATTGAGTATCTGATTGATGAAACCGGTTAAATTTGAAATTAGAATTCAGAAAAGTTGGGAATTTACAATTAAAATATCTGTTGTATATATATCTATATAATCGAATCGGTAGATGAAACGTTTTAGATTCCACTTGATTTTCCATTTCCCATTTTCATTCATTACCTACCATCTCGCTGGCTCTTCTCTTTCACACAGATCATCTTCTCGGATGAGTGCACGGAGGCCGAGGGTCGCACCTGGCACATGAAACACTTCGCCTGCCAGGAGTGCGAGCACCAGTTGGGCGGCCAGCGTTATATAATGCGTGAGGGCAAGCCATATTGCTTGGGCTGCTTTGACACCATGTTCGCCGAGTACTGTGACTACTGCGGCGAGGTCATTGGTGTAGATCAGGGCCAGATGAGCCACGACGGGCAGCACTGGCATGCGACGGATCAGTGCTTCTCGTGTTGCACGTGCCGCTGCTCGCTGCTGGGTCGTCCGTTTCTGCCACGCCGTGGCACCATTTACTGTTCGATAGCGTGCAGCAAGGGCGAGCCACCAACGCCATCGGACACGAGCTCCGGTCCACAGCTACGGCCGACGCATCGCGCCTCCACTTCCAGTCAAATTGCGCGCTCGCCGCGACGCACAGCTGATTCGGCGGGGCGTGGAAAGGCTGGTGTGGGCAATGGACATGGTCATGGTGGCAAGACTGCGGGCAGCGCAGGGGATTTACTAGAGCGGCAGGAGCGCAAGCGCATGGAGGCTGCGGGCGTAGCCGATCTGCTGCTGGGTGGCTGTGTGCCTGGCATGCCACGACCCGCCCATCCGCCGCCCATAGATCTTACGGAGCTGGGCATCAGCCTGGACAATATCTGCGCAGGCGACAAGTCTATTTTTGGAGACACACAGCTGACGTCTTCCATGCCAGACATGCTGCTGTCCAAAGCAGAAGATTCGCATAGCTATCAAAGCATAGACAAGATCAATTTGAACTCGCCTAGCAACTCGGACATGACGCAAAGTACCCAGGAGCTGGGCAACGAGCTAGAGCTGGACAACGAATCAGTGCGCGAGCTGGAACTGCCACATGATGGCTACGAACAACTCTTCGCTGCCAAACAGAACGAGAAGGAGGAGCAACAGCAGCTGGACAATCGGCCGCCGCTAAAGGAGGTTCGCTTCCACAGCGTGCAGGACACGATGTCCCGGTCGAAGAGCTACACGGACAACTCGAATGCGAGACGTCGGCGCCGACGACGCAATCAATCGCGCAGTTCCTCTGAGATGCAGATCAATCAAACGAATCTGCGACTGCACAATGCCCAAACACAAGCTGGCGGCGGTGCTTTGAATCTGCTTAACAATCTGGACAATTGCGACGTGGCCAGCATTTGTTCCACTTGCTCCTCGAGCTCTTCCAGCGATATGGATGACTACGTCTATCGGCTGCCGGCCCGCAAGCATTATGGCGGCGTGCGTGTTGCCTATGTGCCCAACGATGCGCTGGCCTACGAGCGCAAGAAGAAGCTTGCCCAGTCGGGCGATAACAATGGGCAGCTGGGCAACTCGGCCGGCAGCTGTTTGGGCGCCCAATCAACAATGCCAGCAATCATGCACGAGAGCAAGAATTGCACAATATCATGACCACCTCCAATGCTGCCGCCGCCGCCGCTGAATCTCAGCAGCTATTACATCCTGGACACCATACTCGAGGAGCAGAGCCTCAGCCTGCTGCCCGAAAAGAAGCCGGGCTGCCTGAGGCGTGTCTGGAACTTTTTCGGGCTGGGCAAATCGCGTCCAGGCAATGCACAGCGTCTATATAGCGTCTAAAACTGGCTGGCAATTGTGTAAATAGACATATCGATAAATACTATATATATATATATACATATACAGACATACACATACACATATACAAGAAATAACTATATGCTAAGGATTGTGGGCATTTAAATGAACTTTTAAGTGAGCTGGTAAGACAACACTTTATTTTTATTTTCTCTTCTTGTACATGACTTTTATCTACAGTATCCAAACCCTTATCTTTTCGAATACACTTCACTCTCCAGCTCACAAGTATTCCAAGTATCTATAAAGATATATATAAGATATCATTGATTTTATCAACAACTTTGTACAAATCTAAAAGGTATATCAAGCATTTACATATATATAATATTTTCTTACAATATATATATATGGTTTAAATATAGATTAGTATATAGCTAAGAATCTGCCAGCCACAAAATAAATCTAAAACAAATGCAACGAACAATAAATGATGAAGTAAAGCAACGGCCAACAAAAGAATTTGTGTATAAAACAATAAGAAAACAATGAGAAAAGAGCGAAAGTTTTCGCATAGCAAATGTGCAATAACTTATAAAGGAAATTCCCCCTCCAGTCTGCAACCCTAATTTACATAGTTACAGATATACATAAACATATACATATATATATATATATTACTATTAACGATTCTTTATATACAATCTGGTTTTTGCTGGCAAAAGATTCTTTTGTCTTCTTGTAGGTCTTTATGTAATCTTTCGGCGTGAAAGTGAAAGAGTTATATAAAAGGGGAATGTGTCCAGAATAGTTGAGAAAGTTTTTTGTGTTTTACAATATAAAAACAAAGCAAAAATTTAAAGAGCGTTTGCTAAATTTATTGCGTCTATAAAACGTGAAAGAATTTGAAAGTTATGCCAGACCTATAAATGGAACGCATACATATGATGAGTCTTAAGTATTACCAACTATATCTTAAGTCTATCGTTAGTATTAAAGTCAGTGTATATGGAAACATAATCAAAAATAACAATATAAATATATATACAATATGCATATGTGTATTTTAACGTAAAATCAACGAATTACATTATGTGTTTCAATCGCTTTATTTTCGTGGCACCAAATGCACCCAATAGCCGCTTTGTGGTGTCAGCTGGAAGCCACGTGAATCGCTCAACAGATCTTTGACAGTCTTGGGCGAGCGTTCGATCTTATACTTGAGCACGAGGTTGTATAACATGGCCTTGGCCTGCATCAGAGCATAGCGATTACCTGGAATATATAGAAATGCGTCGATTAATATAGCAAAAGGTAATCATATATGGGTAGGTAAAGTCGAAAGTGCCTGGAGTAAGATAATTTTTTTGTCTAGCTACCTGAATAATCTTTGCATGCAAAAACGTATAAGGCCTAACAACAGTTATCGATTATCACTTCATACCCAACCTAAACATCTGCCTATGAAATTGGAATATTTTGTTAATATTCACGACAATGCTCTAGCACTAAGACTACTGGATGACTCAAGCAACCACGGGCGACTCAAAAGATTACATGTCCTAGACCTACCCCACAGAAATAGATAAATATGTAAAGTAGGTAAATATATGGATTGATCTCATTGGAGTCCAAGCCATCCGGTTACGTAATATTATTGTTAACAAATTTGTTTGTCTAGTATAAGACAGATTGCAAATAAAAACAACAATTAAAAAAAAAAAAATAAAAATAAAAAAAAAATGTATCTAGCTTTTATAAATTTCGTGTTATCAGTTGATTGAAAATAATGTAAGATATTTGTTTAGCTAATTAACTAGCAGACATAGCTTAGAATATGATATTGCGTCTCTTAAGTTATATTTTTATGTCCACTCACCTATGCAATTACGTGGGCCCACGCCGAAAGGCAAGTATGTGTACGGCACTAACTGATCCTTGTTCTCATCGCTGAAGCGTTCCGGTATAAACTTGTGCGGTTCGGGGAAGAATTTGTCGTCCAAATGCAGACCCACAATGGGTATATTGATGCGATCACCCGCCTTAAACTCGAATAGCTTCGAGCCATCGTCATCATACAGTGTATAGTCCTTCGCACATTGGCGATCCGTAGAAGCGGCCAGTGTCCACTTGCGCAAAGATTCGGATACAACCATGTCCATATATTTCATCTTAGTGACCGCATCATAGTTGAGCATCTGGCCCTTCAGCTCATCATGTGTTTCCTTTACCTCCTCGTAGAGGCGTTGCTGAATATCTGGATTATTAAGTAGCTCGTACGCGGTGGTACATATTAAGCTGGCGTTATTTTCGAATGCCGCGAAGAAGAAGATGAAACACTGTGCCACCAGCTCGTCATCGCTCCATTGTTGCGTGGACTCCTTCTTGGCTTCCATGAGCAGCTGAATCATATCGGGTCGCACGATATTATTCTCCTCACGATACTTCATGGCATCGACAACGAGACGTATGAAGAATTCGGTTTTCTGCGAGTCAAAGATCTTGAACCCGAGAAGCTGTAAGAGGAATTGGATACATTCGAAGGCTAAACAAGCATTTTAAATGAGAGGCAAACTTACCTTGAAGACAGCAGGCAAAGTTGTGGACAACATAAATTTGTACAGGGCCTTGCCGCGGAAGAACGCCACTGATTTGCCAATTTCATAGAAATCATTATCTGGCGTCTTGTAGGAGCTAACCTTTAGACCAAAGGCTGTGGTTGCAATCAAATCGTTGGACAACCTATTGCACACCTCCTTCAATTCTAACTCGAAGCCCTCACCGGGCTTGACAGCTGTCTTGGACATCTGATCCAAATGATCCATGCATTCGGCGAAGCTTTCGTTCATCAGGCCAAACATGCTACGCATCTTAGCTGATGTAAAGACCGGTGTTAGAGTATTGCGCATATGCTTCCAGCGCTGATCCTTCATTACACTCAACATATCGTTGACCAATCGCTCCTCGGTGGTAAAGAAGAGTTGATGGTTGGGAAAGTAGTCAAAGTCCTTGACAGTGATCTTCTTAATGATCTCAGGGTCGTTCACTTGTATCATAGGCGTACGAAAGTTGAAAAAGCCCACCAGCTTGCTACAAATGAATCAAAGTAATCAGTAAACAGTAAATACTTGACATAAGTCTAGTATACGAACGTATACTCACTGTTGTCGGGTACGTGCATAGAACTCGGCGAGGAGTTTCTGAAATGAGGCCTTGCTCATCACAACGGCTGCATTATTGCCGAAAATGGGCAAAGGTTTTTCAAAAGGCAAACCACGCACTATAAACTCATCATGCCGCACCGTTGTCCATTTGTAGACGTAGTAAAATAGACCCACCAGGGCCAGCAACAATATAAGTTCCATGTTTATTGATGACCTTGACCGTAACCCTGGGGACTGCGAATGGAGCGCTTCTAAACACCCACAAGTCGCAACTGGAACTAATTTTGTGCGGCTGAGCGAACAAGTATTTATATGTCGGCTCTCTCCATGATCCAGAGATATGGTTGCGCACTCGATGTATATAAAATACTTGATAGATAAAACTTGTTCGGACTTGCCAAGTAAACTCGTTCAGAATTTATTATTTCGTGAGCGTTGCTTCCAATTGCGCGCTCTCCCTATCCTCTCTCTCTCTCTCTCTCTCTCTCTCATTCTGTGAGTCCTACTACAGGTAATCCGGTTGATACGATTGCGTACCCTGTACATATATATCAAGAAATTGAACAAATTGAACTTGCTCTTCTATTAATGGGCATGTGTTGGTAGAGTATTGCCCATTTATATTTTATATTGATGAATCATTTAATAATTTTCACATGATTAGAATTTACGTTTAAAAAGATTACATGCAAACAAGCAGCTGATTAATATTTACTAAAAGCCTGATTAGACAGAAAGATAATTAGATGAGAAAGAGAGAGAGAGAGGAAGAGAGAATTGGTACGAATTACTTTTATTTTACAGATAAATATAGACCAGTCATAGATAAGGCCGTTCTGAGTTGAACACATTTATCGCCACAAGGTACTTATATTATAATGGCGAATATAAATATATTTTTTATGAGTCATACACGCAATGAATAAGAGATTATCTTAAAACTAAGCAGCAGTGAGAGACAGATCAATCGAAAAATCTAAAGAGAAAGAATGAAAATATTATTTATCAATTGATTAATTGATATGATTGGCTGATGCAATGCAAGCTCGACCTTTTTCAATATGCTTAACGACATTTTGATAACGGGAATGTTATTGGTTTTGTTTCTGCCAGTGGTCGATTAGCATTTGATAAGATAGAAATGCCATAAGAGCCTTATGTTGAGCAAGTACAACCAGTTACACGGTAAGGGTGTCGAGCGACCTTCAGCATGCGCTTCCCAAATGCTCTTTTTCAATGAGTTTAGGGCTTATAAGAATATTTGTTTGCTTGATTTAAAATTATCTAATCACCGGTGAGTCCATTGCTCTTGTTGAGTTGAGAACATTGCTTGGCTGACAACTTGATAAATTGATACACAAAATTTGATTGAATGTGGATAGCTGTTAACTTTGCCTGGAACATAGGTAATCCATTAGAACTGAAAAGTTTTGGAAGCAAACAAAACTATGACATAAACAAAACCGCTTTGTTTACGGTTTAAATATTTTATCATATTGAACTATAGTTGGACCAACTTCTGTGACTCAGACTGGGAACTGGACTCGGTTGAATACCTTATACAAAATGCTCTATAGAAACTTGAAGCTTAACAGTTAAACAGCAAATTAGCCGCGAGCGCTATAACCAAATGCCAGTAATTAAATATTTAGTCAGTTTGTTTAGTCTGCTAGATGGATGGTTGGTTAGACTTGGGTTGTTTTGACTTGGGTTAACTTGGCTTGACTTGATTGCCAGACTATGACTGGCACATTTCGCGTGTTGGAAATTTGCAAAATGCTTGTCATATGTTGTAAGTTAAAGAGAAAGGGAAAAGGAAAAGAGAGCGAGAAAAGAGAACTGACTTTCCATGAACAAACAAGTAAATTTAATGTTAAAGCGGAGCACAAATGGAAAACAGCTTACGTATTTTGCCATACATTATTCAAGATTAGATTTTCATTATTTTAAACACGACTCTACTATGTTGTCAACTATAATGTATTGAAGACTTTTATATATATATATCTATGCATAATAATATTTATATACCAAATACAAAATTCGTATACGCAACATTTTATTTATGCAAATAGAAACAGAAAATTATTGGAGTTTTCCTCCAAAAACTGTGGACGTTCAGTTTTACCTTAAGTGGCATGCACCAATTTTTACATATATATTATATATAAAATATACTCTAATGACATGCTTCTGCTTGAATGCATCAACTAAGCACAATATTTGAAAGGGTTTAATTATTATAATCGACTAAAATAAATAAATAAATATATATATAATATATTTATATATATATATATATATATATATATATATATATATATATATATATATATATATATATATATATATATATATATATTATATTATAAAATCGTTGGTCTCTCGACTAACAAAGAAAATAAAATGTTTTAACATTTTTCCACAATTGCTATGAAGCGATGTCCAGCATCAGCATTTTTGCATATATATTAACACATATATTATATTGGGCAATTATAAAAATTTAACCCTGCTAAATAAAGTATTTAGTTAATGTATTCAAGCAGAATACGATGGGATTTCTCAGAGATTTGCAATTCAGAACCTAGGATGAGTGGTCTAGTTTGAACTAGGAGATACCCTGAATATTGTATAGAAAAAATATTTCAATTTTAATAATAACTTTTTTCACACATCCATATTATTCTCACTAAATATAATTTAATGAAGCCATTCTAAAGCACACCTCGCTGTTATAAAAATAAAGGAACATAAATTCGAAATTTCTAGTCTCTCGCTTTTATAGCAAACGGGATCGCTGTACGGACGAACGGACGGATATGGCTATTTCGACTCGGCTCACCAACTTGGGTATAAATAAAAATATAATACTCTCAATTCTCATATTCAATGGATTTGGGGTACTATTAAAATGTTAATTGGTCGTCAAACTTAGGGCTATCTTTGATATTACAAATTTTGTGAAGCGGAAAAATCGTTCTATATACATTTATATAAAGGTTCACAGAAATATTTATTAGCTGACTGTCTTTCCAACACCATCGCCATGCGGACTACTCTCATTACTTGCGCTATTATTCAGATCTGGATAGCACTCAGATTAAGTCACAATGTAAGTCGGCCTCAGCTTAAAGTTCAAATACAATTTTCGTATATATTTAAAGGAAGCTGAAGCTATTGAATTCAAAATGACGAATCTGGTTTGCGAGACTTACAACAAATCATGGGTTCTCTTCAATACATGCAGACTTAGAGCCATAAGCCGTGATATGCCAATGCCACAGTCCACCATCCTGCATATAATATTCATGCCCGTGGGGAAGTCTTTCAGAAAGCCAATGGGTACAAGCCATGGCTCGTAAATACAACCGTTGATATCTGCCGTTTCCTTAAAAAACCTTTCAATCCAGTTGCAATACTTATAAGTAAACTTTTTCTAGAATTCTCCAACTTTAACCATACGTGCCCATATATGGTAAGCATCTATGTTGTCAGTGTTTGAAAACTAGTTAATTTTCTTTTTCTAATAGGGCCCACAAATCATAGATGGATTTTATCTCAGATGGACGTCTCTACCGCATGCCATACCAACTGGAGATTATCTTCTAGGAATAACTTGGATTTTCGATAAAAGACCACAGTTTGCAACCAATGTTTACTTCACCTTCAAAGAAGATTTGAAGGCTAAAGCTTGAATAGTCTTAAAGTAAGCTTTCAACTGGCTTAACAAAACTGTATGAATATATCTAATAACAATTATTTTAGATTTCCATTCCATCGTAGTACTCACGGTGGAATATATAAATTTTTCCAAAAATGACTCAGCTTGTAGTCCTTTCCAAAGATCCGATGAAGCGATTTGCAGCATATATAATATATAAAATATAAAGTATATTTCCATGATATAATCTTATATTTATATATATATATCAGCGCATCACCTCAACCAATTTTTGCAAAATTGTTGAATTTATTAAAATATATTTATATATACATTATACATATATTATAATGATTTATTTTGGGCAATTTTAAAAATTAAACCATACCAAATAAAGTATTTAGTTGATGTATTCAAGCAGAATACGATGGGGTTTCTCAGAGATTTGCAATTCAGTAGCCAGGAAGTGTACACTCATTTGACGTAGTGAACTAGGAGATACTCTGAACATGAAGAAATAATATTTCAATATATTTCAATATAAATTACTTTTATCTTATACACACATATTATACTAACTGAAATAATTTAGTGAATTATCATATATATATATATATATATATATATATATATATATATCAACTCGCCAACATAGGTATAAATAAAGTAAAATACTCTCAATTCTCATTTTCAATGGACTTTTAATATAATAATAGGTCATCTTACTTAGGGACTATTGTTGATATTACAAAATCTGTGAAGCGGAAAAATCATTGAATATACATTTATATAAACGTTCACAGAACTATTTATTAGTTGACTGTCTTTCAAATACCATCGCAATGCGGACTACTCTTATTACTTGCGCTATTATTCAGTTCTGGATAGCACTCAGATTAAGTCACAATGTAAGTCGGCCTCAGCTCAAAGTTCAAATACAATTATCATATATATTAAAAGGAAACTGAAGCTATTGAATTCAAAATGACGAATCTGGTTTGCGAGACTTACAACAAATCATGGTTTGTCTTCAATACATGCAGACTTCGAGCCATAAGCCGTAATAAGACTTGTATGTATGCGAATGCCACAGTCCTCCATCCTGCGTACAATATTCATGCCCGAGCCGAGGTCTATCAGAAGGCCAATGGGTACAAACCATGGCTCGTAAATACAACTGTTGATATCTGTCGTTTCCTTAGAAAACCTTTCAATCCAGTTGCAATACTTATAAGTAAACTCTTTCTAGAATTCTCCAACTTTAACCATACGTGCCCATATATGGTAAGCATCTATGTTGTCAGTGTTTGAAAACTAGTTAATTTTCTCTTTCTAATAGGGCCCTCAAATCATAGATGGATTTTATCTCAGGTGGACGTCTCTACCGCATGCCATACCAACTGGAGATTATCTTCTGGGAATAACTTGGATTTTCGATAAAAGACCACAGTTTGCAACCAATGTTTACTTTACCTTCAAAGAAGATTTGAAGGCTAATCCTTGAATAGTCTTCAAGTAAGCTTTCAACTGGCTTAACAAAACTGTATGAATATATCTAATAACAATTATTTTAGATTTCCATTCTCGTAGTACTCAAGGCAGAATATATAAATTTTTCCAACCATTAAAATGTTTGTTTTTTTTTTCAATAAATATTTACTATATATATATAGAATCGATTATCTTTATTCAAATAAACGCTTAGCCAATATGCTCATATATTGATAAATATATAAATTTAAATAACAAGTCAGAAGACTCTAGTCAGATGCTGAGATCGTCGCGGTCACACATACGGACAGACGGACATACAGACTTACGGACAGGGCTCAATTGACTCAGCTTGTCGTCCTGATCAAGAGTATATATACGTTATGGAGTCTGCCACGCCTCCTTCTGCCTGTTACATATAATTGCACAAAACAATTATACCATGGGAAATCATTTTAATAGGATCAGGGTATAAGCAGAACAAAAACTTGTTCCTTCACATAGAACTTGTCGGCAACGAGCGCCGCCTGTAAGGACACTGCTCAGCGGACTACACAATATATGTTTACGGTTCCACAAATTTTTTTTTTTTAAACTATCAATTATTTAACGGAAACCTATCCGCGCATTTAATAAACTGAGCAATTTTCCAAAGATCCGATGCAGCGATGTGAATAAATATAAAGTATATTTCCATAAATATTATATATATGTATATATATATATATATATATATATATAGCAATTATTATAATGACATATTTCAGGCAATTATAAAAACTAAACCTTGCCAAATAATGTATTTAGTTGATGTATTCAAGCAGAATACGATGGGATTTTTCAAAAATTTGCAATTCAGAACCTAAAATGAGTGGTCTAGTTTGAACTAGGAGATACCCTGAATATTGTATAGAAATAATATTTCAATCTTAAAAATAATTTTTTGCTTACACATATTATATTAACTAAAAATAATTTAATGAAGACATCCTAAAGCACACCTAGCTGTTATAAAAATATAGGAATATAAATTCGAAATTTTTAGTCTCTCGCTTTTATAGCATACGTGTTTGCTACGTTCATACAAACTGTCGGATATGGCTGTTTTGACTCGGGGGAAAACCGTTCTATATATATTTATATAAACGTTCACAGAACTATGTATTAGTTGACTGTCTTTCAAATACCATCGCAATGCGGACTACTCTTATTACTTGCGCTATTATTCAGTTCTGGATAGCACTCAGATTAAGTCACAATGTAAGTCGGCCTCAGCTCAAAGTACAAATACAATTATCATATATATTAAAAGGAAGCTGAAGCTATTGAATTCAAGATGACGAATCTGGTTTGCGAGACTTACAACAAATCATGGTTTGTCTTCAATACATGCAGACTTCGAGCCATAAGTCGTAATAAGACTTGTATGTATTTGAATGCCACTGTCCTGCATCCTGCGCACAATATTCATGCCCGGTTCGAGGTCTTTCAGAAGGCCAATGGATACAAGCCATGGCTCGTAAATACAACAGTCGATATCTGCCGTTTCGTAGACAAACCTTTTAATCCAGTTGTAATGCTTATAACCAAACAATTTCTAGAATTTTCCAACTTTAACCACTCGTGCCCATATATGGTAAGCATCTATGTTGTCAGCGTTTGAAAACTAGCTACTTTTTTTTCTGACAGGGCTCACAAATCATAGATGGATTTTATCCCAGATTTAAGTATCTACCGCATGCCATACCAACTGGAGATTATCTCTTGAGCATAACTTGGCTTTTTAATAGGAGAGAACAGTTTCTAACGAAAGTTTACTTTTCCTTCGTAGAAGACTTAAAAGCGAATTCTTAAAAGTTATTAAAGTAACGTAAGCTAAAAGCAAGTAACAGATTTGGCCTTCACAGTGTAATTAAAGTCAAATACCTAAAATTTCTTAACTATTCAACATCTATATATGTCAATTATTAAAATCAGACAAAGTGTAAAAATATACAAAATGTGTTTTTATCTTTTTCTATTATATTGGCACAACCTGAATATATTATATATTATAAAAAATTCATGTATATTGTTATTATGTCTGTATTTATGTATTATTTAAATGTTTTTATTAAATTGATCTGCTTCCCTTTTAGTTTTGTATTTTTCCTGAACGACAGTTTCTAGTCGCTTCTCTTTGTTCATTGACAATCATAACATCTAGCGGAGGCTGCACTCAGCAAAAGCTACGTTTATCTCTCCTTTATCTCTCTTTTAGGAAGTGAGAAATGGAGGATACAATATAGAAATAATGCAGCAGTCGGAAGCAATATAACGTGGAACACGTAGAAAACAGATTCTGCTATAAATATATGAAATATTCAAATTAGTTTCATTAAATGTATAAAATATAATATAATAACTAACCTTTTCTGATTTCTTATCTTTAATGGGTTACCGTATACTATTCAAATATTTATTGACCGATCAACACCGGATTACATTTTGTATTAGCAGTTCCCCGAAGCGGAAATAAATTTTATTTAACAGCTAAAGATTCAATAATCGAGTGTCATTCGTAGATAATCGGTATGCGGACTACTCTCATTGCTTGCGGTATTATTCAGTTCTGGGAATAGCTTGCATTCTTGATAAAAGACCACAATTTGCAACAAATGTTTACATTCAACATTCAAAGAAGATTTGAAGGCTAATCCTTAAATATTCTTAAAGGAACCTTTCGACTGGCTTAACAATGCAATATGAATATATCTAATCAAAATTAAAACCTTCAACTTCCAGTAATTTCTAATGTATGTTAGATTTCCATTCACAAAGTATTCAAGTCAGAATATTTACATTTTACCAACCATTAAAGTATGAATATACCAAATATATGTGTTCAATAAATATTTACTATATGCATATAGAATAGCTAGTACGCTATGCCTGTTGCATTATATTTGTGGAATGACTTGATTCTTGGCATTTCTATTATTAATAATGATATGCTTAAAAATAATGGTGTGATTAAATGGGTTTTTAGTAAAATATGAAAAAAAATATATATAATAGTAATTTTACATTAAATAAAACAGAAATGTTCAAAATCTATGTTTTCATAGCAGGCAACTATAATTTAAATTAAATCTGAAACCTCCAACTCCAGTATTCGCTTTTTGAATATTCTCAATGAGTTATCGATTAAATTTCAGTCTGCAGCTTTTGTAGTTTACGATACAGATAAGCAGACGGACATGCGAGAATATGACCCACTTAGCTTGTTGTCTTGGTCAAGAATATATGTTACATATATTTTAACAAAAACATGATACTCAAACTTGCTATTTTCAATGGGCTCAGAAAAATATAAAAATATAAATTACCCGTTCAATTCCGGGGTTTATTTGATACGAAAACTCTGTGAAGCGGAAATATGTGATTATGTTCACATTACTATTCGTAGTTCAATGTTTTTCGAATACCAACGCTATGCGGACGACTCTCATTGCTTGCGCTATTATTCAGTTCTGGATAGCTCTCAGGTTAAATTACAATGTAAGTCGTTAAAGCTTACGTTAAAGCTTATATATGTCACACATTTCATATATGATAAAAGGTAGTTGAAGCTATTGAATTCAAGATGACGAATCTGGTTTGCGAGACTTACAACAAATCGTGGTTTCTCTTCAACACATGCAGACTTCGAGCCATAAGCCGTAATAAAACTTGTTTGTATTTGAATGCCACTGTCTTGCATCCTGCGTACAATATTCATGCCCGAGCCGAGGTCTATCAGAAGGCCAATGGGTACAACTGTTGATATCTGTCGTTTCCTTAAAAAACCTTTCAATCCAGTTGCAATGCTTATAGGTAAACTCTTTCTAGAATTCTCCAACTTCAACCATACGTGCCCATATATGGTAAGCATCTATGTTGTCAGTGTTTGAAAACTAGTTAATTTTCTTTTTCTAATAGGGCCCACAAATCATAGATGGATTTTATCTCAGATGGACGTCTCTACCGCATGCCATACCAACTGGAGATTATCTTCTGGGAATAACTTGGATTTTTGATAATAGACCACAGTTTGCAACAAAAGTTTACTTCGCCTTCAAAGAAGATTTGAAGGCAAATCCTTAAATATTCTTAACGAAACCTTTTGACTGGTTTTACCATGCAGTATGAATATATCTAATTATCAAAATTAATATATTAAACTTCAAGTAAACGAAAACTTTGATGAGAACAAATGAAAGACTTCCACTTAAAGAGTAATCAAGGCAGTATATTAACATTTTATCAACAACTAAAGTATGAATACCAACTGTGTTTTTTTCAATAAATATTTGACATATACATATAGAATCTATTATCTCTTTTTCAAATAAGCACTGACTGAACGGCATTTGAATGAATGGATATATTGATATATATACATACATTTAAAAATGGTTGAGAAATATTAGCATATATTGCCACTTGAATATATATATATATATATATATAAATATATATATATATATCGGGTTTGTGTTAAATTGATCAACTTCCGTTATAGTTTTGTACTCTTACTATTGCGTCTAATGGCGAATTCTCGCAGTGCTGCCTTTTGCAATGTGACGATTACGCACTTAGTCACCCACACCTGAGACTTATTTCTACTATCACGGAGTGAGAATGAGATGATAGAAGCCACAAATGAGAAGCGTGTACATAAATCGCAAATGATACACTTTAGCCAATTATAATAATTCTGAATTCCTGTGTTTACTGGACTCACGGTACTGTAAAATATATATTGACTCCGAAGTTCCCCAAGCGGAAATAAACTTTATTTAACATTTGCATGCGCATTTACCCAAATATTCGATAATCGAGTGTCATTCGAAAATCATCATGCGGACTATTCTCATTACTTACGCTATTATTCAGCTCTGGTTGACTGTCTGGCTGAGCTACAATGTGAGTTGGCCTCAGGTTAAAGTGCAAATACCTAACCCATTTCGTATATGTTAAAAGGAAGCTGAAGCTATTGAATTCAGGATGACGAATGTAGTGTGCGAAACTTACAACAAATCATGGGTGATTTTCCAAAAATGCAGACTTCGAGCCATAAGCCGTAATAAGATTTGCATGTATATGAATGCAACTATCCTGCATCCTGCGTATATTATCCATGCCCGGTTCGAGCTCTTTCAGAGGGCTAATGGCTACAAGCCATGGCTCGTAAATACAACCATCAATTCCTGCCGTTTCATGGACAAACCTTTCAATCCATTTGCAATTCTTATATCCAAATTATATCTAGAATTTTCCAACATTAACCACACGTGCCCTTTTGTCAGACAAACTGTAAAAATATGCAAAATGTGTTTTCATTATTTTCTATTATCTTTTTTCAAAAATGGCGTAACTCGAATTGCTGAAGCCGAAGGGCACCTGATATATATTAAAAAAGAAAAAAAAAAATATATATATATAATAACAATATATATATATAAATATATATATATATTTATATATATATATATGTATATATATATATATATATATATGTTTAATAATATATTATACAGGATTAATAACTAAGCATTTCTGAATTCTTATCTTTAATATGTTCAAGGAACTATTCAAATATTTATTGATCGATCAACGCCGGATTGCATTTTGTATTAGCAGTTCCCCGAAGCGGAAATAAACTTTATTTAACATTTGCATGCGCATTTACCCAAATATTCGATAATCGAGTGTCATTCGAAGATCATCATGCGGACTATTCTCATTACTTACGCTATTATTCAGCTCTGGTTGACTGTCTGGCTGAGCTACAATGTGAGTTGGCCTCAGGTTAGGTTAGGTTAGGTTGTGCAAATACTTAACACATTTCGTATATGTTAAAAGGAAGCTGAAGCTATTGAATTCAAGATGACGAATTTAGTTTGCGACACTTTCACTTTTCTCAGATGGAAGATCCTACCGCATGCCACACCAACTGGAGATTATCTATTGAGTATGACTTGGCTTTTTAATAGGGGAGATCAGGTTAGAACGAAAGTTTACTTTTCCTTCACAGAAGACTTAAAAGCGAATTCTTAAATATTTTAACAAAATTGAGAACTAAATTTTCAAGTAATTTCGAATTTCCATAAAGGAACAATCGATAGATCATCCTTCTTAGAGTACCTAAAGAGGAATATATAAATGTGAATATCCATTTAACGTCTGTATATATCAGCAATTAAAGTGAGTCAAAGCTTATGCATATGAAAATGTTTATTTTTTTTTTCAATTTAAATCTCGTCTGATAAATATTTAAAAAAGATAAAAAAAGATAATTGAGATTGCTGTTGCAAAATTGAAATTATTCAGTAATGGTTAGAAGCCGTTCACCATAATTATATATGAATATATATATTTTAATACCTGCCCATTGGAAAATGATATAATAAGGCTTGCAATGATTACTGTAGGAACTGAGGCGGAAAGAGGCTAAAATATGTTTATATATCATTGGTATCCTAATTCAAATATATTGAATACTTAAGGGTCATTCGAGAACTATCGCAATGCGCATTGCTCACTTCATTTGTGGAATTCTTCAGCTTTGGATTACGCTTAAGCTGAATTATTACGTAAGTTGACATCGAGTGAACGAGTGAATGTATGAGTTACGATCTTTCAATGTATTTTCATAGGAAGCTGTTATGTTTAAGATGACAAACGCTGTATGTAAGAGCAATGACGAATCGTTTTTTGTTATCCACCTATGCAGAGTCCGAGCCGTCAGCCGGAATAAGACAACGTTCAATTTTAACGGAACCTACTTGCATACCGCCAGAAGTATTTTTTATCGAGCCGAACTTTACAAACGGGCCAATGGCTACAAGCCATGGTTGATAAATGTGACCGTCGATTTCTGCCGTTACCTTAAGCGGCCGTTTAATCCAGTGGCTATACTTCTGGCTAAGCTCTATTTGGAATTCACCAATTTAAACCACACTTGCCCCTATATTGCACGTATCAATATCAAGTATCGAGTTGCTTAATAACCTAAATAATTTTCTTTGAACAGGGACCACAAATTGTTGATGGTTTTTATCTCAAACTGGAGAGTCTACCGCATTCAATACCAACTGGAGAATATTTGCTGGCCATTACTTGGATAGTAAATGGGAGTCCAATGTTTTTAACAAATGTTTTCCTATGTTATAGCTTCTTCTGTTGTAAATAACTCCTAACAATGTAATTAATTTGCAAAATATAGTAAAAATAAGTAACAAATGAGCTAATTTGTTATGATGAAATCAAACGCAAAAAAATTCATTTGTAAACCGATACAGCAAAATATTTAATCTGATCCTGAAAAAAGCATGAACTAAATTTTAATGAGAGCATTACTCAAGCGAAAAGCGCGATTATTAGGTCGTTTGTAAATGTTTTTCAGATTTGAAAATCATTCCAGATTCTACTTCCGAAGATCAGAAACCATGTACACCAAAATAATAATATATTTTTGTATATTACAAATATGGATAACTCTTTACCAGAGTTTCAATGTAAGTTGGCTGCAAGAGTTGCAGGAGCCGCTACGAATCGTGGTTTAAAATCAATCAATGTAGACTTTGAGCGCTCAGCCGTAATAAGACAACACTCAATTTTAATGGAACTGTCTTGTATCCGGCAAATATTATTCACGTTTGAATCGAGATATTCAAGAATGCTAACAGCTACATGCCATGGCTCATTAATGAGACCATTTATGTCTGCCGTTCGTAAACAAACAGTCTTTAAGCTGTTCCGAGGGTACACCAATTTCAATCACACCTGCCCCTATATGGTGAGTCTAAATTATTGCTTTACTGTTCCTTTAAATGAAAATTCTTTCTCCTTGATCCTATAAGGGACCACAAACGTTAAGGGATTTTATCCCAGATGGGATATTCTACCCCATACAATACCAACTGGTGATTATCTATTGGCTTCAATATGGTCATTTGACAGGAGGCCACAATTTGAAGTAAATATTTACTTCACTTTTACAGAGAATTTATAAGCTAATCGTTGTCTATAAGTGTCGAGTGCATTCGAATTCTTAAATATAAAAAAATATGGAAATTTGTTTCTGTTATTGCGATGACATTTTTGAAGACAGTAGCAAGCTCATTTAATGAGTAAACTAAGTTTTTTTTTTTTTTTTTTTTTTTTTTTTTTTTTCGTTTTTATTTCTTTATTTTGTTGCAGCTTATTGTCTTAGACTCTATAGCGCATTTAGCTCTAAACCTTAACTAATGGGAGGGCAGATATGCCAATTATTCTGCACTTGTAGCTACTATCTTAATTAGTTCTAATATTGTCTAGAGGATGCAATCTCTTCAGTCTTCGCCTATTGTTGTTTATAGCCAGGTTGCTTGCGAGATGGTTAGGATGCGCTGCAAGTCTGTCCGCGTATCTTGAACTGTGTCGCCCAATGAGTTCAGCAACTGTGGGAATTGCTAAATCCCTATGTAAGACTGAGTTTCTTACAAACCAGCTGGCTCCAGTCCATCTGCGTAGTGCTTTATTCTGCAGGGTCTGAATTTTGTTCCTTGTAGTCTTCGCCGAGGAGCCCCATAGAGAGATACCATATACGAAGGTTGGGACAACTATTGCCTTGTAGATGGCGGCCTTGCTGCTGTAAGACAACTTGCTTGAAGCTCTCAGCATCCAGTCGAGGGTTTTTAGCTTGCTTTTGCATTTTGAGGTTACTTGACTTATGTGCGCTTTAAAAGTCAGCCTTCTGTCAAGAGTGATACCAAGGTACTTTACTTTTGAGGCTTTGGGAATAGTGGGCCCCAATGCAACGCTTGGGCAATCTCCTCTTCTAGTGGCGAAGGTAGTATGTACAGACTTTTGTGCATTAATGGTGATACACCACCGTTTTGCCCAGCGTCCGAAAGAGTCCAGATATTTTTGTAGTGAGTCTGAAGCTTCTTGCGCAGATACGTGACGTGATAAGATGGCGGTGTCATCTGCATAGGTCGCTATGAGTACTGCATCTGTACTTCCTATATTTGGCTCGGGAGTTGGCATATCTCCTGTGAATAAAGTATAAAGTGTTGGGCCTAGAACACTACCCTGTGGTACTCCAGCCATAATTGGTC